GAGGCCACTATTTTGGAGTTAAAAGGACTCGATTATTAAAGTGCTAATGAAAAAGAATACAGGACACAAGGTGACATTAAAAGCGTTACATTGATTAAATATGATTATCAATGCCAATGGTACTACATATTATGTGTAAGTAATGCACACTAGTTCATTCCGATTAAAAGGTTTTGCGATCTTATTTTAAGGTATAGAATTTTAAGTCTCATATTGGTTATACGAGTGATTAATATGAAATTTATATGGACTTTGAGTTTTCTTACCTCTTAAGTTAACTTTTGGGATGAGATTCTCGCGAGATTTGTTTCAATTAGTACCAGAACCGTTAGCATTACAATATTCGCCCAAAGCTAGTAAAATACTAGCGCAAACTGTGTAGAGGTATCAAAACAACACGAGGCTAATAAAATACTAGTGCAAACTATAGGGATCATTACGACACGAATTTTTTTGAGTTGATACGACACAATACGAATAACACGTAAAATACGGCAAAAAACCAAAAAAAATGAGTTGAAATTAAAAAAAATTAATAAAAAAATATGGTTTGACACAAATTTGACATGCAACATGACATAGATATTTTATAAATTATTTTTTCCGACACTAATTGTTTTGCGTGTCAACCCAAATATAAATTTTCGTGTCATACTAAAAATTGACTCACATGTTATAATCTATTTTGACATCTCTAGCGCAAAGCCAGCCGCAACAACTCAGAACCTAAAATCTTGCTTAAGAAAATAGACTCCTCGGCACTCGAACCAACCAGGACTGATTATATGAGTCAAAGTTTTTTACTATGTCTATGCACTCCAATAATGTTACAAAGTTTTTCAAAATTCGCTGACTCTCAAAGATGGTAATCATAAGGCAGAGAGGCATCGGGTGGGCAATAAAAGTAAAAATTCAAATGTAAATGATAGAAGTCTCGTATCAAGAAGAATGGGCTAAATATAATAGATATAAGTGAAGGGGTAGAATATATTTATGGAAAAAATGTTTCTGCAATTACTGCAGATAAGTTATCTGCATTTATTCTCCAAATGACATCGTTTTGGTATTGAAATTTTAAAAAATTATAAATATAAAGACTATTATAACTCTGAAATAAATTAAAATTACAAAAGTATCATGATTTCTGCCCAAAACGACGTCGTATTGGGCTTACTGCAAATAACTTATTTGCAGTGACTGCAGAAAAAACGAACCCTATATTTATTATCATAAAAATTTATTACTCTTACAATCAATCTAATTATCATTGATTTTTATTAATTTAATGGTTATAATTTATTAAAAATTAAAAATTAATTAATAAGAAAGATCTAATAATTTTTCAATAAATTATAACTGTTAGATTGTATTAGATTAGTTGTAAGGATGATAAATTTTTGTGGTGGTAAGTATATCCTTCCTATAAATAAATTTATCACTTAGACCTATTATAATTAGGGTTTGATGTTTGTCATTTTAAATGACATAAGTTATGTTATTTTAGGACAGAGATAGACAAAAAAAAAATGAAAATCATGAGAGAGAGAAAGTGGGTGATTTTTTTTAATTTAAAATTTAAATAAAAAAATTATTTTGTGTCTGTCTCTCTTTTAAAATGACATAACTTTATGTCATTTAAAATGACAAACACTTTTCCCTTATTAATATAATATTTAAAGTTTTGGGTTAAATTGAAGTACCATATCTCTTTGTCGTGAGTTTTTCACTTAGACCCATTATTCCCCTCTCAGTTTTGTTGGCTTCTTGGCAAAACACGGAGCTATTGGTGACGATTTGGGAAGGAGGGACACGAAGGTGTCATGGTTTGTACAGTCTTAATTTTCTAAATATATGCTTAGGTCTTTTAAAAAATAAAAGTTTCTCTGTTTTAAATTTAGATAACCTTGACTCCAACATAAATTTTGCAACTAGATGTTAGAAAAATTTACATGTACAATATTAATTAATATTTTTGTATTTTTTAAATTAATGAGTTAATGAATATTTGAATTTAATTTATTATGATAAACTCTTTTGTGATCATGATGAGTTGAACCTTTAGCATCTATGGGTATCAGGCCTAGTTGGGCAGCACAATATAGGTATTAATGTCTGATTGAATTTCTATGATGGGTGAATCTACAAGACGCATTGTTGATTAACATTTTGCTAAGTCCTCTCTCTAATCTATATATACTAGAACTATACCCTCAGAAACATCATGCTCCAGTCGCAAGAAGACTGTCATTTTCAAAATAAGCAATAGAGAGAAAGATCCTAGCAAGAAAAACATTTCAGAATTTGTTCAGTAGATCAGATGACCCAAACAGATAGTTCTTATTCTCTAATAATATTATTATGTGGTGTTGTTTTATATATCATATGAACCTATTGAGGTATCATGTAGAAAAATTCTTACAAATCAAATATTTAAGGATGGATAATTTTACCACAGTTGAAGTTTTTTAATAGATAAAATACAAACGAAGTGCTGAACTCTGAAAAATCTGCAAAGAATCTAACTCTATTTGGATATTATTTTGAATTACCCCTGATAGAGGATCTTAGAGGGGCATAATTAGCAATAAGCATGTTCCACAAATGACGGTGGATCTGAAGAAGAATCATTGATTCAGATTGCAGTTTTTGGCCAGGGAATCTGGGGATCTGGGGCCAGGACACAGGAGAGATACTATTCTATATACGAGGTTGAAGCTGTACGGTACCAAGTACAGTGTATTTCTTTGAAATCTGAATTGAATAGCTAGCAGTAGCACGCATGGTTTGATTTGATCATTCTTTTTTTTTTTTTCTTTTTTTTTTTAAGATTTGATTATTTTATTTGTGCTCGTGACTTCCTCCCTAAGAAATCTGAATTTCACCAGCTGTTATTACTTAACCAACCTATCAATTTGTGGTTATCCCTTGACCATATTTAAATGAAGGAACCCCATTAAGCAAGACCCAAAAGTCTTGGGGCATCACATCCATGTCAATTTGCCCTTTTTTATTTTATTTTATTTAGGCTTCAAATATCACCCTTTGAAGGAGATGCACAAATAAAGAAACTTTTTGAATTTATAATTTTTTTTATTTTTCCCCTTTAAGTCTCTGTGTGCTGGTATATTCCAGATTTTGAAAATGATCAATTTAAATTAAAACCCAAACTAACAATCAGCACATTGTATGTCAAGGAAACCAACAATACTTTGATGATCCAAAACAAAAACAAAACATCTATTATTTCATATTTTTATTCACTCTTTTGTACCAGCTTGTCAAACAAATGATAAGAAAAGAATATATTATTATACAATAAAAATAATTAAAAGTGATAGTGGAAATTCAATACATGTAATGCCATTGATAAATAAGAAAACACTGAGAAAAAATGTAGTAAGCAAAGCAGAAATTAAAAAAGTATAAACAACAACAAACAAGTAAATAAAATATAACAACATTAAAAAGGAATGTCATTTTCAGTTACCCCCCAATTTCCTATCCTAGACAAAAAGTGCAACGTCCACAAGTTTTGGATCAATACTCACAAAAATTCCTATCCAAGATCTAGTCTAGTTGGTAATTTCAACAAGTTTGAATCCCTCTTGTGAGTTTCCTCTTAAATTCTCCATAATAAGCCCAATGAGACTTTTCCAAAAAATAATATATCCCTTTGCATTAGGCATTCTTAACAATAGTGTAAATTTAATACAGTGTAAAGTGTTTTAATTTACAAACGTCTTCTCAGTGGATAATCATATTTTTCATACAAATTTGCAACAAGCATTATTTTTTATAAATACAAACTAACATGCCCGCAATTATATTTATAACTTCTTTTATGAGCATACCTAATATGTTTCTTGATTATTAATTAAATATTAGTCTGTCAATTTTCTGACACCGCAGTGATTCGCATTCATGGTTTTCCAAAAATATCTTGGACCCTACCAATTTAGTACCCTGTAACGCAACCTACTCTAATACCCTGTGAGGCTGTAACCTCGGCCATGAGAACCGTTGAAAGAGTAGGGACCACAAGGCCAGCAAAGCAACTTTGTTCAAAAAGACAAAAACATTGGACCAAACCCAAACCCAAATCATATGTATGTATCATGTATGTATGTATGTGTTACAGCCACACCTTTTCTTTACTTAACAGGTTGGTTTTGCTGTTAGTTAATGACTTCACTTGATGTTATTTTGGGAACAGTGACTAAAGTGTCACTGTTGGTCAAAAAAATTATCAGACTGTCACGTCAACAGTAAATTTTACCAAAATGTCACGTGTTATATTTTGCTACACTATGTAGCGAAATATGTGTGCAAATAATTCGCTACACAGTGTAGCGAAATATGCCACGTCAGATTGCTCAGAACCAAAAATGCCATATGTCAAATTGAAGAAATTCGCTACATAGGATAGCGAATTTCTATAATTTTGACACGTGACATTTTTGGTTCTGACGTGGCATATTTCGCTACACTGTGTAACGAATTATTTGCACAGATATTTCGCTACACAGTGTAGCGAAATATGACACGTGGCATTTTAGCAAAATTTACTGTTGACATGGCAGTCTGGTAATTTTTTTGACAACAGTGGTAAAATGGTCACTGTTCCGTTATTTTGTAACTATTTATGTGCGCTGTAACGTACGTTCAAGCCTAAACTCAAAAACATTCAAACTCTCCTAGAATAACAACGTAAGTACCACAAAGAGAAGAACAGTGAAGAGAGATAGAGAGATAGAGAGACCGAAAGGGGGGTTTTAGATCCCTCCAACAGATCAAATCAAAAAAATCCCCGTCTATGGGGTTGTTCGTTTTTGTGAACAACCCAACAACCCCATTTGAGTAAGAAGGGATTCCTTGGTTTGGATTTGCTTGCATTGCAGAATCAGATAACCCCCCCAATCATTATATTCCATCTATCTCTTCTCATTGTTCTTTTTTGTGCTGTTATTCTCATTGTGTTTGGTTTGTCTTCTGTTGTTGGCACAATCAAGCCATGGAGGGTGAGAAAAAGTACATCACCTCTGAGGAGCTGAAGGAACACAACAAGGAAGGGGATTTATGGATCTCCATTCAGGGTAAGGTGTATAATGTCACAGATTGGGTTAAGGAACACCCTGGTGGTGATGTTCCTATACTGAACCTTGCTGGCCAGGATGTCACAGATGCATTCATAGCCTACCATCCTGGCACAGCATGGAAATTTCTTGACAAGCTCTACACTGGGTATTACCTGAGGGATTTCAACGTCTCTGAGGTGTCCAGGGATTATAGGAAGATGGCATCTGAGTTTTCAAAAATGGGTCTTTTTGACATGAAAGAGCATGTTGCTTCTTGTGCCCTTACCTCTGTTGCTGTCATGTTCCTCATTGTTCTTTATGGGGTCCTTAGATGCGCAAGTGTGTGGGCACATTTGGGCTCTAGCATGCTGTTGGGTTTGCTTTGGATGCAAAGTGCTTATGTGGGTCATGATTCTGGTCACTATGTGGTTATGACAAATCGTGGGTTCAACAAATTTGCACAGATAATTTCTGGGAATTGCTTGACTGGGATAAGCATTGCATGGTGGAAATGGACTCACAATGCTCACCACATTGCTTGCAATAGCCTTGACCATGATCCTGATCTGCAACACATGCCAGTTTTTGCTGTGTCTTCCCGTTTCTTCAATTCAATCACATCTCATTTCTATGGAAGGCAGTTAAAGTTTGATTCTTTTGCCAGGTTCTTGATCAGTTACCAGCACTGGACATTTTACCCAGTCATGTGCGTTGCAAGGGTCAATTTGTACGTTCAGACATTCCTGCTTTTGTTTTCAAAGCGTAGAGTCCCAGATAGAGCTTTGAACATAATGGGAATTCTTGTGTTTTGGACTTGGTTCCCCCTTCTTGTTTCTTCCCTCCCAAATTGGCCAGAAAGGATTATGTTTGTGCTTGTTAGCTTTGCTGTTTGTTCCATTCAACACATTCAATTCTGTTTGAATCATTTTGCTGCAAATGTATATGTGGGGCCACCAAATGGCAATGACTGGTTTGAGAAGCAAACTGGTGGGACATTGGATATCTCTTGCTCCTCTTGGATGGATTGGTTCTTTGGTGGTTTGCAGTTCCAGCTTGAGCACCATTTGTTCCCAAGGCTTCCAAGGTGCCAATTGAGGAAGATTTCCCCAATGGTGAGAGACCTATGCAAGAAGCATAACTTGCCTTATAGGAGTTTGTCATTTTGGGAGGCCAATCAATGGACAATTAGGACCCTCAGGACTGCTGCCCTACAAGCCAGGGACCTGACTAACCCTGCCCCCAAGAATCTGTTGTGGGAAGCTGTTAATACTCATGGCTGAGGGATATGAATTTTTGGATTTTAGAAGAATGTCAAGAAGGTCTTTTTTCCTTTATTCTTTAAAAAAAAAAAAAAAAAATCTTATTGTCATTATATTAGCCCCCCACATTTCTATATTGGGCCTTAAATTTAACTTTTTAATAGGTGTGGTGTAGAAACGATGATCTATATATTACAGTTCATGTGCTTTGCATCAATACAAAATTCAGATTATATTTGCTTTTTTTCTCTCTTCATTTCCTTATTGTTACATTGCATAGGTTGTGTTATGGACCACTTATGTAGTATTCACTTTCTATCCCCACTACAAGGAGCATCTCATTCCATCACTCTCTCATAACTTCCATCCACTACCAATAACCACCCATTAAGCATCGCATTATCGCATTAAGTCACCTGCAAACTACCCACTAGGGGCAGAATCTCCTAGTGCATTCATCTATATATAACCCCTTATAGCTAACAAAAGCGATTATCTCATAACTCTGGAAGAAAACCTGTCTTAGCAGCCACCATAGACACACACATCTTGTTCATACCATCGGACTTTGGCCTAAGGTGCAGGACTTCTCATTTCCTGTCATTTTTACCATAAGCTCCGTAGATACAAATACTAGCTACCCTGCTAGACAATTAATGTTCACTCCAGAAGAGGTTGTTAGCTTCTGATACTTATAGAATGGTTGACTTTAATAAAAGATAGAAGAACTCCCATCAACTTGTGTATGTATATTTCTATTCATCGGTTATTTAGCAGAATATTTCTTCTTTCACTCTGGGTTTGTTGGAGAGAGAGGATGGAATTATTGCATACTGATTTTCAAGCCCTTTTGGTTGTGCCTGAAAAATAAAAAGGAAACCAAAGAACTCTGTTATAATGTCAAAAAATTTATGGCTCAACCCTTACATTCAGGTGAAGGCTTATGAGTGGCAATTTGTTGCTAATGAAGCCATCAGAATGAATTTGAATTTTGGCTTTTGCTAGAAGAATGATTCATGCTGGTAGAAATTAATCTTGTGGCATCAGCAAGGGGAAAAAATGTTGATTCTCAGCAAGCCGGATTCCATAGTAAACTAGTAAGGGAAAATAATTGTGATTCAACAAGCTAGAATGGATTAATTAATGTATTTGAAATTAGTGTATTTGACATCAGAATGAAATTGAATTTGGCTTCTGCTAGTAGAAATTGAGGCCATCATAATAATATGCTGGAAGAAATTGATCTCGTGGCATCTAGCAAGGGAAAATAATGGTGATTCTCACCAAGCTAGAATGGATCCATTTAAAAAAGTAGAAATGAAATGAGGTCAATACCTTATGTCTTCTCATTCTCACTGCCAACAAATATGAGAAGAAAACAAATATATCATTTTAAACTTATCTTTAATAATTCTATATTAAGAGAGCAAGCTCTGTTTAATGTCCTCTGTCATTGGGGTGGTAATTCGGATTAATATCACACGACACAAATTTTCTTTTTCCATTTTAATATTCAAACTCAAAATCTTTAATCAAAAGAAATCAATTTTTTATTATTTGAATCAATAATTATTAATATATTCTTTTATGAGATTAATATTTATCCTTTTAAAACATAGAATTATGTTATTTTAATCAAAATTACAGTGTTTTATAAGAAAAACAGTTACACAACAAAAATTATAATGAAAGAAAATAGAAGGTATTTTTTTTAATTAAAATATTAAATAAAAAATAGTTATTTTAACTAAAATGACTATCCTTACAAATTACAAATATTTTTTCCTTCTTTTATTTCTTAACCTATATTTTAAAGAGACTAGAGACGTCTTCAAAACTCATTGCCAAAAATGCTCTAACCGAAATTTTAAATTGCCAATTAAGATTTATTTCCATATCAATGGCAACTTATCATGAACAATTTTTAAAAAACCATTCAGGAATAATACAAAATAGACCAGTTTTATCGTTTTAAAGTTTAAAAATTAAAAACAAACTATTTCACAAAACGTATATACCGCACTGTTTTTCCTTGTTTCGAGTGGCCTTTCCCGGAAAATTAACGGGCAATGTGAGTCTGCTGTTGTGGAGAATTATTTTTTTCTCCAGCTGGCCCTACAAAAGTTGGCGTTGCTTTTTTTTTTTTAAAGTGGGCCCACACTTGTTATTCTTACAACAACATGAGATATTAAGTCTTGTTTCAAGAGATTTGTATTTGTCTACGTTGTATTTTTTTTGAGTTTTATTTATGTCATCTAAGAGTAAAATCACATTGTATCGTGCCTTTATAAGTGAGTTACTCTCTTTTTTTTCCTCTCACTTGGTGGGTCCCGTTTTTAAATGAGTGTACAGAAATAAGATTTTGTTTTCCTGTTACTTGATACTAATAAACCCCATTTTTTTAATCCAAATTCCTTCTTAATAATATTAGATTTTCTAATCAATATATCTATTTTACATTGGCTTGCAATTTCTCATGTTACATGAGAAATTCAAGTTTTTCTACATAAAGAAAAAGGGATAAGGCTCACCTTAAAAAAAATGATTAACATAGACATCGAAGTGAGAGTGATAGAAGATGAGACTTCTCATGCAACATGCAACATGAGAAGTCTTTTTCCCATTTTACATTTCATACAAAAATACACTTCACCTTCTGTCATCTTTTTTTTTCAAACTTTGCAAGAGTTTTTAATCATAAATTTTTTTCAATTTCGGAAAATTTTTGTAAAGTTACTATATTAAGGTAATAAATTTTCTTTATTATTTACAAAGAGTGTAAGTGTATAGGCTCTCTTATCGTAGAGGAGATAATGGAACAACATAATCAATTGCAAAGCTGGCTAAAGTTGATCCAAAATACAAAGATTGAAGGAGTTAGTTGAACCCTGTTGAGCAAGGAAGTCAGATTTCCTCTACAAAACACATGAATTAGATTAATGTTCCAATCTCGTTGGAGGAGGAGGCAAATGTCCCCAATAATATTACCATAGAGGTCGCAAGAAGAACACTACCCCTTTACCAGATGCAACACCACACTTTTGAAGAGTCAGACTCAAAAATAATATTACATACCCAGATCGTAAAGCTTGGATGAGACCTTATTTGATAGCACGCAATTTAATGAGTATCATTGACTACTACAAATAAAACATAAGAGATGATGAGGAGAGCCTATATACTTGGTCTTTCTGAAATAAGAAAGAAATATTATTATCTTATTATAGACACTTCACATCTTTTTTTAGCATCTGGAAAAATATTATATGGTTAAAAACCCTTTTGAAAGTTGGAAAGAAGATGGGTCAAGGTAGCTGAAGTGTAGTTTTGTAAAAGGGTTTCTCTTTTCTCATGCCACATGAGGTTGCATCTCTCATGCCATAGACACAACAAGTGGTGGGGCCCACCACTTGTTAAAAAAAACAAAAAAACAAAAAAGATTACACAGATTTCGATGTCTCACAACATAAGAAAGCTATCTCCTATCACATGAGAAAATGATTTCCCTTTGTAAAAAGCATAAAATAGGTATATTGATTAGAAACCCTAATACTGTTAAGGATGGATTTGGATGAAAAAAACACCGGAGATAAATGATAAAAAAAATCGCAAAAGGATAAGTGATTAAAAGGCAAACTTCAAGGGTGTATTTGATATTTTCCTTTTGGGTTTTATAAGAGTTATGTTTCAGGAAAAATGATTGTGATATGTTATAGAGATTTGTTTTGCGTGCCGTAGTTTTTTTTTTCTTCAAAACATGCGGGTCCCACAAAATGTTGTATGTGTAGGAAACTTTTTGTAATCATATTAAACGATGAATGCAAACCTTTTTTTCTTTTAGGTGGCGTTTGGTTGAGGAGAAATTTTTGAATACTAGGGAAATGAAATTGATAGGGAAATGGTTGGAAACTGAGTTTGATAGGAAAATGTAAAAAAAGTTATTTGGTTGAGTAAAATTTTACCAGGAAAATTAAGTGAAATTTGTGAAGAGTGTGTTTGGTTGAATATAAAATAATGATGGGTAACTATTCTGAATTTACGAAACTATCCTTTTAAACATTGCCCTTTTTATTTTTTATTTTTTTTAATTTTGAAACCTTCAGCCTTCACCACACACTACCGTCATCCTCCTTCTCTTCACCACCTCATCGTCCCTCCAAAGCCCATCATTCCACCATGACCGCTGCACCCAAACCACTACCCCACCTCATCGTCCTCCTTCCATCAACCCACCACTAACAGCCTTTACTTTATTTTTATTTTTTGTGAACCCACAACCACACCGCCGACCACCATCTCCATCCAGCCACCACCGTTCAGCCCCCCATCCTATCTTCATCTTCAACAGCCCATCACTGCCCCTCCTCTTCTCCTAGCCAGACAAACCAGCCACACCCCTACTCCAGCCAACCGATCCATCTCCAAACCAAGATAATATCAGAGGGTATTTTCGGTTGATTTAAAATTGCCTTTTGCAATTTAGACGGCTTTCCACCAAAAAACCACGTCCGAGTTCTCTTTCTAAACAGTGCCAATTCCCTGCTTTCATCGACCAAATGGGAAATGCCATGCAAATGGAATAGATGGGCATCGTTGCCAAATCCGTCTACCAAACAGAGACAAAGTGGATGCCCAAGTTCATTTGCATGGGGAAATTATAGGAACTCCTCAACCAAACAGCACCTTATAGGAATATGCAAAAGAACCAAAATAACTTAACTTCATTGCACTTAAAAAAATTAATTTTTAAAAATTAGTTAATGAAGTGATGTTTGAAAACCAGTTTAAGAAACCAAATTGTTTTTTTTTTTTCTTCTTTTTTTTTTCTTATATATTTATTTATTTAGTTCCTTCTTTTATCTTTATTTCTTTAGTTATTTATTTTTTTTTTCTATCTTATTTTTCTCTTTTTTATTTATTTATTTATTGTCTTTTTTTCTTTTTTTCTCTTATGTTTTTTTATTTTTATTATTAATTATTATTTTTAATTTCTAGTATCATTTATATTTTTTTAATTTTTTTCTCATTCTTTTTATATTTTTTAACTAATTCAAAATTAGTTCTAAACTAAATTAAATTGGTTCTAAAAAATAAACCAATTCAATTTTGAATTGAATTATTTTTTCCAGTTGAGGTTGATAAAGAAAACTGAATTCAACAGTACATATTGGTATTATTTTTTTTGGCTTTAACGTTTTTAAACTGAATGTAGATAAGTTATCTACATTCACTCTCAAAACGACATCGTTTTGAATTGAAAAATTAAAAAATTATAATAAAAAAGACTATTATAACCTTAAAATAAATTATAATTACAAAAATACCTTGATTTTCTCCTCAAAACGACATCATTTTACACTCACTGTAAATAAGTTATCTACGTTAACTATAAGAGCGAATCCTATTTTATTTTTATTTTTTTTGGAGTTACTCAACCCTAATTATCTCTTTGAGACGAGTTGGCTCCCTCCGATATCCTCACGAGCTTCGACTCTTTGAGCCGGCTATAGGACTAATCCGGAGTGCGGGGGAACAGTGATGGCTAAATGTTCAGCCCCCTCTCCAAAAATGCATTCAGCGAGAATCGAACACATATCCAATCCCACTAACTCAGCGCCAAGTTACCAACTGAGCTGCACCAATTGGGTTGAATCCTATTTTTTTTACGCTGGACAGAAAGAACAAGCTAATAAAAGCACAAAGAAATCATTAAAACAATTATATTTACATGTCATTGTATCGCGTATTCACATAGTCAAAAGTAAACAATTATGATGAATAATAATGATTTGAAAAATATAAGAAAAACTATACATGTAAGTATCATTTGTCAAATAACTATTCCCAAGTAATGAAAATCACACATTGTAAACATTAAACCCTTTCTGGTATGTTGATTCCTTTCCAAATCCAATAAGAAAGGCAGATAACAAGCCTGAAGACAAGCTGAAGATTCCATGCCTAGAATTGTGGGAATGTTGAAATTCAGCATTAACAAGTTGTCATTAACCCCTTTAATAGTTTTTTCTTTTCTCTCATCAACCGAATTAGTATAAGGGAATTATATATTAACATTTAAACTACTTGTGTCTTAATTTACACCGATCTAATTAGAAAAGTTATTTAATTTTTTTATAACAACATATTTTTATGTCAAGTAACCCTAATTATTATTTAAATTATTTATTTTCTTTAAATAGATGAATTTTTTTATTTTTTTTATTCATTTTGCGGGCGTTGCATTTCTCGGTTGAGCACTGCCCAATTTTTATTAGACGCGCTGCGAGACGTTTAAAGAAAAGAAAAAACACAAAAAAACAAAGAAACGTTTCGCAGAGCCTCATCATTCATCATTTTGTTGTCTTCCGCACATGGAGCTCCGAAACCAGAAATTGTTCTTAACAAATCCCAACTAATTTTCTGAAGCTTCGTTTTTCACTGAATCACTTCAATACCTACCGAAGATTCATCCCCCTTCACCAGTATTTGTGTTAAAAAAAAAAACTTTTTAAGAAAATCCATTTTTTTCGTGTAAATTTTGCTACAAGATCATCGATCTTCCATTTTTCTTCAATTTGACGGGTTTTTGGAATCTGGGTTCGAAGAAAGTTGTTTTTTTGGGTTCTGGGTATTTGAGTTCTTGGTAAAAGGAAAAAAGATGAGTAACCAGAGGAAGAAGAATTTTCAGATAGAGGCGTTCAAGCACCGGGTCGTCATGGATCCGAAATACGGCGACAAGACCTGGAACATTCTGGAACATGCAATTCATGAGATATACAACCACAACGCTAGTGGTCTCAGTTTCGAAGAGCTTTACAGGTTCTCCTTCGTTCTTTCTCATGATTCCGACCGTGTGTTGTTGCTTGTTGGAAAACTTTGTCTGCTCTGTGTAATTATTTGGCTTGTTTTTGAAGATATATAGGTGTGGTCATAGGATTTGGGGTCTTTGGAATGTTCAAATTGGAGCCTTAAAAAGCATATTCTATCATTTTTGGGGTTCTGGAATTTAGGGTATCCTCAGTGGCTGGTGCACATGCACATGTGGCATGTTTATTGAGTCTGTGATGTTGCTTTTATGATTTTGGGAATCAGCTTCTATGATGTTGCATTTCTTGATTGTTGGACTAGTTCATTACTTACTTGTAACTCATAGCTCATGAGTGCCTTGATTTGTTTCGTATTCTTCACTCTTATGAAATTATGTGCTCTTCTGTAGTCCTAGTAATTATATTCATCCTCTTCTCTCTCTCTCTCTTTGCTAATGTTCGTAGAATTATGCTTTGTGAGAGAATTAGCTGTTATACCGAATAGCGTAACATGATGATTAGCTGAGTTTTCTGTGTTGGATAAGTGGACTCTTATTAGGATATAATGAGGTGTGTGATAAATCTTTTAGAATCTGTCATTATATGTGTTTATGATACATATCCTGTTCATGTTTGACATTGTATCATACATTAAAGAATCCGGTTACTTGCTTGGAGTTATCCCTTTTGGAGCAAGCCATGGGGCTAAATGATGTTAACATGTCTGTGCGTGAAGGCTGTAGACTATAAAAGGAGAAAATAGGGATCTACCAGAATTGAGTAATGTTTTATCCTCCTAACATCCTAATTACTTAAAGAGGACCACTATTTCACACGAAATTATTTTCAACTATTCAACTCCGGATGACTTGGCTTTGGATTCTTATGAATGAAATAGTTTGCTTTTGACTACATTGGATTTTCAACTCCGAATGACATGGCTGATTAATCATACTTTAACTGAAAAGTATGATTATTTAATATATTTGGAATCCTAAAAATATTTGATACTTTCTTCATTGAGTAGTTAGGAGGGTTATTAGCCTGATTAATTTGGAGGATATAGGGTTATTTATCAGAATTTACATCAATTTATGGAACTAATATTTTGTATGTCATGAAATTTGGGAATGTTGAACAAGTTTCAAATTGTATGGTGGTTCCAATTGTAAATGTAGTGAATTGACATAGCAATGTAATAAAAGATCAACATAAGCAAGTAAATAAGGGTAAGACCTAACAAAGGAAACAATCTTGTGGAGCACGTAAGTATTGTCAGTTCTTAGTTCTTAAATGCAATTTAAGTTCTTCTAATGTTATTTTTAAGTGGATAATTAGATAGTAAATGCACAGGTTGTATTTGGACACTAGTTGGAGTTTACGGCCCACTGTCTTTATTATCCTCTCCTCCGTGATTTATTAGTTTATACCAGTTTTAAAAACCGGCTCAGACTAGCCGGGTCTCGGTGACACGGTGGGTTCCCCGGTCCGAGCGGCCATTTGGATCGGTTATACAGTCAGCTCGGTTTGGACCGGTTGACCCGGTCAAGATTTGGCAACCCGATTTAGACCGGTAGACCCTTTTTTTTTTTTTTTGTTGCGGAGAACTCTTGAATTAAATCATGCTCATATTTTTGGTAAATATGATTAAAAAGTAAGGTGAAAATAAGAAGGTATTTTGGATTAGTGTCGTTCTTTTGTGTAATTTAGTTGCATCTTATAATGATCTCAAGAAGTTAAGTGAGGATAAACACTGATGGTCTCATCTCAATGTTGGACGCTGATAGGACCCCACTAATGATTTGTCATAAGAATTGCCACAGGGAATTATTTAGGAAGGATGAGTCAGCTAATAAAGGAAATATTCTAGAGGTGAGGTTGTTGGAAGGCTCCAATTCTGTTAGAATGGATGAGGTGGCTAAGAGAGAGGATGAGGTGGTTAAAAGGCAGCAGGGAAGTGAGGAGAGGTATCTTTTGGGCCATTTGGAACCTTGGGCACCTTAGGGCGATTTGGGAGAGACTAGGGGCTCTAGAATTATCCTTTACTGATTTCCATACTGTTAGTTAATTTTCAGTTCATTGTAATTTTCTTTCTTCTTGTAATTTGTCTCTGAGTTACTATATCTGTTGTAATTGTCTCTGGAAAAATATATAAAAACCTGATTATTCAGGCCAAGGATCTCTATTACTATCCTTATTTTAGTAATTTGAGTAGAAGGTCCTTAACAAATGGTATCAGAGCTCTAATCTAGGAGCTCTGTGGGCATGGTAGCGACAAGAAGCATGGAAACCAGAATGGAGGTTGTGGAAGAAGGGCTGCGCAGGAACAATGCTCGTCAGGACGAGGTGTGTCGAAGGCTAGAAGCTACTGAGGTGGGAGTGGCTGAGATCATCAGAAGGTTGGATGAGATGGCTGGGAGAAGAAGAAATCTATGAAGAAGGGAAGTTCTCAGGTTCTATGGAGAAGATGATGATGATGCTTGGGGATGGCTAATTTACATGGAACAATATTTCCAGAAAGAAAGAACTCATGAAGATGACAAGTTGGCAGTGGCTTTGAGGGGGCTTAGAGGATCTGCACGGAGGTGGTATAACTGTTGGTGTTGGCTCAATCCTAACACAAATTGGTGGGATTTTACTAAGGCGTTCATACACAAATACTTACCTGAGATATGCTTGGAAGATAATGCAGAAGCATAATGTTTGAATAAAAAAACAAAGATGAAAACAAGCTTTGCAAGAGAGGAGAACCGATCAATTGTTCAAATAGAAAAATCAAAACAGGGAAATGACAAGCACGATCCTGAGGTGAAGGTCATGCCAGCCAAATCAAAATATGTTCCTACAGAGGTTTCGATGCGGTCAACAAAGAAGAAATTAGAGAGGAAAAACAATGGAGTTCAGATCGAGATCTTGTCGCAGTCTGAAGAGATGGAAGAGAAGCACGTTATGAAGTTGCAGGAGAAAGTGTGGCTTAAGCTCATGAACGTGAAGGAGACTCCATAAAAGGTCGTTGCATTGCCAAAGCCACCGGCGGTAGTGGTCCAACTGCCTCCATTACCCAAGCCACCGGACTTGAAATTGTCCGAGAAGGATGAAAACAGATTGCAGGGAAACCATGAGAGGTATAGACTGCTGCAAACAGGGGGGAAAGGAGGAAAGGAACATTCTAAGTCAAAATTAGTGAAATTGGGCCAATGTGTTGGCCTTTGGGGTAAGGCCCAAAACACTCAATATATCCAAGTCCAAATTGATATTTTTTCTGTTATAACATTTTTGTCTAGTGAATCCATAATTGGGTCTGAGCTAAGTGGGCCCAAGAAGCCAAAAACCAATGACTTGCAGCAGCACTTGAATGATGGGTATTTCCAATCCCAACCCAATGATCCCTTTATTTGTGTTGGGTGTGAATGGGAATTTAAGCCCATATTTTTATCTCAAATCATTAAACCTAGAACAACATATTCTGATCCAACAATTGAGAATTACCCTTTCTCTATCATCAACTTCTGGGACGACCTGTTTGATTTCAAGCATTTATCTTCGACGTCGCTCTTCAATGGCTGCTTGAGGTTATGTTCGAAGCGACTTTGGTATAGACAAGCGGGGAGGACTCAAGCAAAGCGGGAATGGATGTTGGATGGTATTTTGTGTCACTGTTCACAAGAGTATGTGACGATGGATGAAGCAAGGTAGCAGTTCCTGTATATATTGTGCCATGTCTTAATGGTGGAAGAAGACGATGATGGTGAGGAGACAAGGAACGAAGGACCTTTGAGTGAAGACAACAAAGCGAAGGCGGATAAAACCGATGGAGATAACGTAAGAAGCTTGATTCGAGGTTTGCCATGGAGAGACGGTACTTTTGATTTCCTAAAAATTTCTATTTTTTTTAAAATCCTAGAAGCTAATGGGTCTCTCCTCAAGAATGAAATTCCTATTGCAATTAATGTTGTTTTTGCGGTAAAAGACGCTGACTGGGTTTTTAAGAGTAGAACAACCGTTGTTGTTGGTACAACTTTCCTTGGGCAATTCCGATTGGACACTAATAGGCCCATTAAATTTTTGAGCGATATGGCCCATGGAAAATTGGAGGTTGGTTGTGCAACTGAAAAGGAAGCTGGAGTTTGTGTTACTGCGTTAACATCCAAAGCATGGTCATTGGAAACGGAGGAGAAACTAGATTATGTTGTTGGTATACATGGCAACTTCTTGTTATTGACAATAACAACAGCTTTTAATAATGAAGTTAAATCTTGGAATGCTGTTATTTGGTGTTCTGTACTTCAAAATAATTGTCAAACTGCCTTGCAATATACTCTTGTCGAGCCTTGGGTAAGGTGAGTGGTCTTAAGACGTGAAGCACACATTGGGTTTTGTGGAGAAGCAGAATCCAGGAGATCATTTAAGGATTGGTGGTTTCAGAGGCAAAAGGTGCAAGCTATGAAACAAAGCATCGTATTAGGACAATGGCAATTTTTTACTGTCAATGAAGAGTTGAGAGAAACATAAGAGTCTCATCATGGAGAAGCAATGATAAAGGTTATTATCTTGGCTCAAATCATATCTGACTTGGGGGAAGGCCCAATATTGAAAATGTATTTCTTTTATGCTGCTGTAAACATAATTGCAGAAGTTTATTTTACTAGGAAAGATGATGGAACCACTGCAAAAGGACAATGGGATTCCCGTGGAAATCATAAAAGGTTTTGCATGTTTAATGATGATATATGTGGCATTGCTGGTGTTGCACTGGCTGGAGTATTTGAAGATGAGCAATGGGATCCGGGTGGAAGTTATCATGCTTCAAGTATGTATAGATCTGTACAATTCAAGAAATGGGATCCCTGTGGAAGGCTCTTGAAGGCTAAACCTCACCTTGAGGGCAAGGTGAATGTTTAGGGGGGGAGTATTGATAGGACCCCACTAATGATTTGTCATAAGAATTGCCACAGGGAATTATTTAGGAAGGATGAGTCAGCTAATAAAGGAAATATTCTAGAGGTGAGGTTGTTGGAAGGCTCCAATTCTGTTAGAATGGATGAGGTGGCAAAGAGAGAGGATGAGGTGGTTAAAAGGCAGCAGGGAAGTGAGGAGAGGTATCTTTTGGGCCATTTGGAACCTTGGGCACCTTAGGGTGATTTGGGAGAGACTAGGGGCTCTAGAATTATCCTTTACTGATTTCCTTACTGTTAGTTAATTTCCAGTTCATTGTAATTTTCTATCTTCTTGTAATTTGTCTCTGAATTACTATATCTGTTGTAATTGTCTCTGGAAAAATATATAAAAACCTGATTATTCAGGCCAAGGATCTCTATTACTATCCTTATTTTAGTAATCTGAGTAGAAGGTCCTTATTAGGACACTTTCTCCTTAGTGTATATTTCATGTCTACCATTTGTTATCATAATTTAGTTTATCTATGTTATGTCAAGGCACAAAAGATGCATTTAGCTTGCATTGCAATTTTAATCCAATGTTAGGATATGGTCTAAAGCTAGAAGCCTAGGAGTATATGATATTTGCTATATTTGAGAACCAATTTATTTTTTGAAGCTCATTGATAGTTTTTTATGTGAATTTTTAATATAAGTAATACATTTATATTTTTTTAATATGTGAACAGTAAATCCGGTTGAACCAATGACCCAGTAACTCGACAGAGTCGATGACCGGTCCGAATTTTAAAATACTGATTTATACATTCTGAACTAATGAATTAGTTTGGCATATAAAATGAATTTGTTATGTGAATTTTCCTATGGATATGTTCACATCTAAAGGATGTGGTGTTTTATTTATTTTTTTCCTTTCCATGAGGGACAATGGATTTCACGTTTCTAATATTTTTCACCTTGGTTTTTGTGTGGAGATAGAAATGCATACAATATGGTTCTTCACAAATTTGGTGAGAAGCTGTACTCAGGGCTGGTTGCCACCATGACTGCACATCTCAAAGAGATAGCTGGATCTATTGAAGCCACTCAAGGAGATTCCTTTCTGGAAGAAATGAACAGGAAATGGAATGATCATAATAAGGCATTACAAATGATTAGAGATATTCTGATGTACATGGATAGGACTTACATCCCAAATGCCCAGAAGACCCCTGTTCATGAACTTGGCCTGAACCTGTGGAGAGAAAATGTTATTTATTCAAACCAGATAAGGACTCGACTGTTGAATACGCTTTTGGAATTAGTACGCAGCGAACGCGCTGGTGAAGTTATTAATAGAGGACTTATTAGAAATATTACAAAGATGCTAATGGATTTAGGTCCTTCTGTTTATGGGCAAGAATTCGAGACTCATTTTCTTCAAGTTTCAGCTGAGTTCTACAGGATGGAATCCCAGAAGTTTATTGAGTGTTGTGATTGTGGGGATTATCTCAAGAAAGCTGAGAGACGACTGAATGAGGAAATGGATAGAGTGAGCCATTACTTGGATCCCAAGACTGAAAAGAAGATTACTAATGTGGTGGAGAAGGAAATGTTTGAAAACCACATGCTTAGATTAATCCATATGGAGAATTCTGGGTTAGTAAACATGCTTTGTGATGATAAATATGAAGATTTGGGTAGGATGTATAACTTGTTCCGCCGTGTTAATGATGGTCTCTCAAGAATACGTGAAGTGATGACTTCACACATCAGAGAGTCGGGTAAACAGCTTGTTACTGATCCAGAAAGGTTGAAGGATCCTGTTGAGTTTGTACAGAGGCTATTAGATGAGAAAGATAAATATGACAAGATTATAAATCTGGCATTCAACAATGACAAATTGTTCCAGAATGCTTTGAATTCCTCATTTGAATACTTCATTAACTTGAATCCACGTTCTCCAGAGTTCATTTCACTATTTGTAGATGATAAGCTTCGAAAAGGTCTGAAGGGAGTTAGTGAGGATGATGTAGAGATTACTCTTGACAAGGTGATGATGCTATTCCGGTACTTGCAAGAAAAAGATGTGTTTGAGAAGTATTACAAACAGCATCTGGCAAAGCGGCTTTTGTCTGGAAAAACTGTTTCTGATGATGCAGAGAGAAGTCTCATAGTTAAGCTCAAGACAGAATGCGGTTACCAATTTACCTCTAAATTAGAGGGCATGTTTACAGACATGAAAACCTCTCTAGACACAATGCAGGGCTTTTATGCCAGCCACCCTGAGTTAGGGGATGGTCCTACACTTACTGTGCAGGTTCTGACAACAGGATCTTGGCCAACTCAATCTAGTGTTACTTGCCACCTTCCGGCTGAAATGTCTGCACTTTGTGAGAAGTTTCGATCATATTACCTTGGCACCCATACTGGCAGGAGATTGTCCTGGCAAACTAATATGGGCACAGCAGACTTAAAAGCTACCTTCGGGAAAGGTCAGAAACATGAGTTAAATGTCTCCACTTACCAAATGTGTGTCCTTATGCTGTTTAATAATGCTGATAGGCTAAGCTACAAGGAGATTGAGCAAGCAACTGAGATTCCGGCTTCAGATCTGAAAAGGTGCCTGCAATCATTGGCTTTAGTCAAGGGAAGAAATGTCCTTAGGAAAGAGCCTATGAGCAAAGATGTTGGTGAAGATGATACATTCTTTGTTAATGACAAGTTCAGTAGCAAACTATACAAGGTAAAAATAGGAACTGTAGTTGCACAAAAGGAATCAGAACCTGAGAAACAGGAAACTCGACAGAGAGTGGAGGAGGACAGGAAGCCCCAGATTGAGGCAGCGATAGTGAGGATCATGAAATCAAGGAAGCAACTTGATCATAACAATCTTATAGCCGAGGTCACAAAGCAGTTGCAGTCGCGATTCCTCGCAAATCCAACGGAGGTAAAGAAACGGATTGAGTCTCTCATTGAGCGTGAATTTTTGGAGAGAGACGATAGTGACAGAAAATTGTATCGATATCTTGCCTAGAATTTGTAAGCTTGTTTGTTTCATATAAGTTAACAGTGATACAAATATTGTGTCTTGTGAACAAGGTGCACAATGACCTTGTAACAGATCCATTGATTCTTAATGCATATCAAATTGTTCTTCCTATTGGTCTTGCTATTTTATCTTATTATGTGCATCACCTAATATACTAATGTCTTTGCCTCCACTGCACTCCTTTACATTTATGTGGGAGATCAATGTGTGGAAGTTTTAACATAGGTTATCCCGACAATGTTGTTCTTTATGGCTAGAAGGTTTCACTGAAAATCTCATTTTTCAAATAAAACGTGTTGCGCTTCTATAATCTTTTTATATTTGATGACTAGCTTTAGTCAATTGAATGTCATGATTAATGTTATTTTTAATTACGTGTAAGCCATCAGCTAGATGATTAGATGAATCTCTTATGAAATTACTTGAGTCCGGTAGCAAAGATTTTTTGTATAATTGTCAAGGAGAAATTTTATGGTATTCTTAGAGTTAATATTCTCAAAGGCCGAGATTTGATTAAAAGTTTATTAAATGATCTGTTAAATTCAATCCGATCTCTATATAGTTATGCAGTCCATGTATTATATTTTTATCAGATTAAGTGTATTATTCATACATTAAAATTTCTCGTTGTCAAGGGAGTTTCTTCATTTTATTCTGACCCCCTCATAAGAAGATAAAAAGAACTTGAATGAATGCTGTGTTTGAGGCATGGATGACAGGTTTTCCTTTATCATCTTCATTGTTCTGACCAATTCACAGCGTGTGATGGAATAATTCAGCTATCTTGGTAACCAATGATATATTGCACATAACAGACTCTTAGTTATTGTTTTCACTTTTCACCTCGTACATATAGTAGTGAGCACAAAAAAATCCTATTTTATTCCTTTCTATATGTTGCTATTCTCTTTAGATTGCATTCATATGTATCCTTTCAATTTGTAAGCTGATAAAAAGTACTGCCTCTACCTCTAGATGATTACAAACGAAAAAGATGTTTATACAGACATCTTAGGTCACAAACCTCACTCACCAAAATAAAGAGGGCCATGGTGGTGTGTGAAAAATGGGAAAAGCGAAAGAGAAAGAAAAATAATTGGTGAAGACGAGTGTTTGTGAAGCAATGTGATGAACTTTATTTGTGTAAATAATAAAATCATTTTACAAATTTATTTTTTTTGGAAATTTCTCGGACTACAAATTGGTATCATCAAAAGATTCAAAATATACGGGAAAGTCTCTACTATATATATACATGGGAAAGTAACAAGTTTCCTTCAAACCAATCATGCATGCAGGTTGGTAAAATGAAATTTCTCTAACACTGCGATCTGGTGGAATGCTGCATTATACAGAGACATTTGAATATGTCGGATAAAAGACACTTCGATAGACAATTTGAAGAGGTGCTGGATATGTTCAGCTACTCATGCGTTTTTTTTAGAAGTCTCGAAAAACATGGTTTTGAAATATATGTTATAAAAAGAAAAATATAGGACATTATACCTATCTTTTTTTCCATCCCTATTCTACAATTCATATCACCGTTAGATTATAATTTTAATTACTTTTATCATTTTCCTCTTTTAAGATTCTGATATAACAGTATTAGAAATAAATAAAATAGACATAAAACAAAATGAGGTAGGATATTATAACTTTCATCATCAATTTCACTGTTAGATCTATTATATTAATCCAACGGTTATATTTATTTTTATCTTTGTATGGTTATGATTTCATATATTTAATACTATATTTATTGTATGGTTATGATTGTCCAAATTTATTGTGAAAGCATTAAATATTAAAAATCATAATCATACAAAAATAAAAATAAATATAATCATTGAATGAATAGAATCAATCTAATAGTATAATTGATTGATAGTAATATTAATAATAATTTTAATTGATTGTTACAATATCCTACCTCGACATAATATCCTATCCGGAAAAAAATTACGCAGGAGTTGCTTTATTTTATATTTAATATTTAGGTGAAAATCAGAAACACGTATCCTTTTCTAAGTACACCTTTTATATGGATGGAATGCTTACAGCCATTGACGATAGATGTTCAGTACATCTGAGAATTTTCCACGTGACAGGTAAAGCAAAGGATTGAATAAGATTGGTAATGAACTTGTCCACAGAGGACGAGTCTAGAGTAATAGTAGAATTATTCCATTCCAACTGAAAAACCATGTATTTAAATCCGGAAAATAGTCTCCTTGAATATATACAAATGGTATAAAAATTGTCCTCCTCCCACCTTCATTGTCGAGATTTAATGGAGTGGTGATTGGTAATGAACTTGTCCCCTACTCTTTCTAGAATGGAAATAGAAAAATATATTTGGGAAGCAGAAATTGGTTGCCCTTTGTTACGGACATCATCATTTTGGTTACAACATATTACTTCCCAAAACTCAAGCAGAAACCAAGTTCATCACATCAATGTTTGTGCAACATGCATAAAAAATTCGAGATGATAATATTACTCATCCACCCAGTTAAGTGCTAGATATTAGTATGACATATCAGAGCTACAAATCAAATTTAGAGCAACCACAAAAATGATGCAAACGAATAAAAGAACTTTAGGGATTGCCTATGGACCCACGCTCATAAGTAGATTTATGCCTCTGAATTGAGGATGCGGATTTGTATCTCGGAGAATGTCTTCACATCACTACCCCATAACCTGCTTTGACAGATCATTCTAAAACATTTATTACGATATAAATATCAATTTAAAATCCAGCAAAAAAGAATTACATGAAAAGATCAGCCACAGAAACATTTCTGTCAATATAAACAAGCAATAATCACTTCAGACAAGAAAGCTCTTACCAGCAATCTATCCCAATAGCATTGGCCCCCAATTTATCCGCCTTTTGATCATCTCCAATGTGTAAGGCTTTGCTAGCCTCTACATTTACTTGATCTAGGAAACAGAAAACATTGGCATCGACACTCAATAAGAAAGCATTATTACCGCAACATAGGTTAGCATGACAGCAAATAATGATATTTTTTTCCTCAAATTCCACTAGAAAAACATAGTTTGCTGCATTCTTGTAGAAATGATATTTTCTAATCTTTTGTTTTCAGCTGAACGAGATGAAAAGATATTAAAGTCATATCTAAAAACAACAAATGAAATGCGGAACCAGAAGGCTATTTGTATCCATCTATAAAGGAAATAGATTTCAAACAAAGAAAACTTAGTGTTGGAACGAAAAGGTGCAGGAGACAATTAAAAAGAAAAAAGACTGCTTTAGATATTTGCATAAATGTCCTGGTGAGGAAAACTTGCAAAAGTTTAGATTAGTTAGAAAAAATGCTAAGAAAGCAGTGCGAGAGGTTAGAGATAAAGTTATCTCCAATTTGTACAAAAAACTTGGAGTAAAGAAGGTGAAAAAGATATCTATAGACTTGTAATTTGTAAAGATAAACGATAAGAACAATAAAGACTTGACTCAGGTTAGACGCATTAAGGATGAAAATCAAAAACTTTGGCAAGAGATAAAGAAGTCAAAGAAAGGTGGATGAACTATTTTAGCAAGATTTTTAATGGGGATAGCGACAAAAGTGAGATGAATTTAGAGGATACTTATGATGATCTAAACATAAAATTTGTGTGTAGAATTAAAGTGCATGAGGTTAAGGAGATATTAAGGAAGATGAAGACTAGTAAAACTCTAGGACTTGATGGTTTCCTTATCGAAGTGTGGAGATGTCTAGGAGATGAGGCAATAAATTGATTGACAAATCTTTTTAATAAGATTCTCAAAACTCATAAGATGCCTAATGTATAGAGAAAAAGTATATTTGTGCCTATTTACAAAAACAAAGGAGATGGCCACTAACTATAGAGGCATTAAGCTTAAGAACCATATTATGAAGTTGTATGAGAGAGTTATTGAACATCACTTAAGAATAAAGACCAAGGTCTCTGTAAATCAATTCGAATTTATGCTAGAAAGATGTATCATAGAGGTTATTTTCTTGATACGACAATTGATGGAAAAATATCAAGAAAAGAAGAAGAACCGACATTATGGTGTTTATTGATCTTGAGAAGGCATATTATAAGATTCCAAGAAAGGTTCAATGCAAAGGTTCTTGAGAAGAAAAAAGTATCATCAAAATATATAGAGGCAATCAAGGATATGATTTATGGTGCTACTAAATGTATGAAGATTTGTAATGGAACATAAGGTTATTTTCCTATCACGGTAGGTGTACACCAAGTCTTTGCATTAAGTGCTTATCTTTTTGCTCTAGTTATGGATAGACTAACAAAAGATATCCAAGAGGAAGTGCCATGATATATGTTATTTGCAGATGATATTGTGTTTATTGATAAGATCAAGGCTGGTTTTAATAAAAAACTAGAATTATAGAAAAGCACGTAGGAGTCTAAGATTTACCCTAAATCGAAGTGAGACTGAGTATATGAAGTATGAGTTCGCTCCAACAACGGTTGGATACCAAGATTTCATGCAATTGCTTGGATAACAGATACTTAAGAAAGATGCTTTTATATATTTAGGATCTATTTTGTAAAATGGTTGAGAGATTGATAGGAATGTGATGGGCCTTCAATAAAGTAACCAAGCCCATTAATTAAGAATTAGTATATATAGAGATGTTTAGGGTGGGGTTTGATTATGCATGTATTGAGAATTGGTTAGTAGGAATTTGAGAGACTTCTAGGGAACTCTTGAGCCTAGGTGTTTGGTTTGAGGGGGAGTTGAGGCTTTCTTGGGGTTTATTTTCTGCATTTAATATTGTATTAGTTTATGTAAAAAGAGGCTATGCCTCCATTGTTAATGAATTCAGTCTTGTATTTCTTTGGGTTCCATCAATTTGGTATCAGAGCACTTCCGATCTAGGGGTGTTCTTGATCCAGATCTGAAGAAAAAAAAAAAAAAAAAATGAAGTTCAGATTTACTGCTGTTCCAAAATTCTTTGGAGAAGGAGATGATGCTTGGGGATGGCTGATCGATTTGGAACAATATTTTCAGATCGAAGGAATCAATGAAGATCAAAAATATAGGGAAGCAGTGAGAGGGCTAAGAGGGCGTGCGTTCTACTGGTATCAAGGTTGGAAGTGGTTGAATCTTACCGCAAACTTGAAGAAGTTTGAGAAGGCGTTCATAGAGAAATATCTACCTGAAATTATATTGGTAGATAGCGTAGAAACAGGAGACATAGAAGACAAAACAGATCCCAAAATAGAAGATGTTGATGTTGCAGAAAAGGAAGCAAATCGAAAATCAGAAGAAGACGATGCCGCCAAAGTTGAAAACGCAGAAGAGCGACACGAAGGTGAAGAACCAGATCGTAAATCAGAAAAACCAATCATCAACAAAGAAGATAAGGAAACAGTGACCTACAAAAAAAAGGTAGAGGCTAATGAAGAACAACAACAACAAGACGATGCAGAAGAAGAAAAATATGGACTGAGAATCGAAGAAGCAGAGAAAAAAGAAAAAAAAAATTGAAGAAGAAGAAAGAGTAGTGAGCGAAGAAGATGACGCAGAAGGGGAAGATGAAGAAGATTCCGATGAGGAGACGACGCATGCAGTTCTTCTAACAGACTCGAAGGAAGACACTCGTGCAGAGGTTAGTCTTCATTTTTCCTTTGAATTTGGACGGACGATGACCCTTGTGCAGAGATTAGACGAAAGGGAGATGGTGAAGGAACGGGTCGGGTTTGTAGATGGACGGGCCAATAATGGGTCAGATTATGGAAGGGCAAGTTACACCAGAACATCCCTATCCAATCAGGCCTTTAGTAACATTGAAGGGCGGCCCAATGTTGGGAATAATGAGGTCAGAGATGGGCAAGGTAATGGGCCTGAATCAGGAATATTTAAGAGGGTTGCACTCACGGCCCATTCAAATAAATCAAACTATGAAGGAATGGGGAGAGGGGGTGCTGGTTTGCAATTTGGGCCAAATATTTATCACTGTGAGCCCAATTCTAAGGGTAACACCCAAATTAATGAGGTTCGGCAGCTACCCAAGGTGATTGGGGAAAGCCAAGGTTCGTTACAATGGAGTTCAGCGACCAACGACAATGTCCGATGCAGTGGGAGATACCGACGATTAATGGCGGAGGAAGGGGCTGAAGATGAAATCGAAATTGGGGAAGTGAGTAACGTTGTTGAGGACAAGTCCATTCAATGAAGCTTGCTCAGCGTGGTGGGCCATAATTGTTTATTCAAAATCTGGAGAGAGGTTCATGGACGAAGAGGGGTGACCTTGATAGCTGCAGGTGCTGTGCAGATTTTGAAAGCTAGGACAGCAAGTGAGGCAATAGAGGAAGTGTATCAGGGACAAACAGAGGACCCAATCATGTTTCAGACTAAATTCCAGCCAACTCTGGGTTGCACCATGTACAGAAGTGAAACGGATTTGATGGTAATCAATTGGGAATATACTGAAAGTGAGGTTCAAGAAACCAAAACGTTGCAGTTGCTAATTGGTCAATATGCTTCAAGCTTTGGGACCCAGGAGGAATGTATCTCACATTACTTGTACTCTTCCCTCACCTTGAGGACAAGGTGAATTTTAGAGGGGGAGTATTGATGGGCCTTCAATAAAGTAACCAAGCCCATTAATTAAAAATTAGTATATATAGAGATGTTTAGGGTGGGGTTTGATTATGCATGTATTGAGAATTGGTTAGTAGGAATTTGAGATACCTCTAGGGAACTCTTGAGCCTAGGTGTTTGGTTTGAGGGGGAGTTGAGGCTTTCTTGGGGTTTATTTTCTGCATTTAATATTGTATTAGTTTATGTAAAAAGAGGCTATGCCTCCATTGTTAATGAATTCAGTCTTGTATTTCTTTGGGTTCCATCAGAATGTAAACCATAGAATTAAAGCAGGTTGGATGAAATGGCACAGTGCATTAGGGTTTTTGTGTGATCGCTAAATTTCTCTAAGACTAAAAGGAAAGTTTTATAAAACAATAGTAAGGCTTGCAATGTAATACAAATTTAATGTTGGCTAGCATATAGGCATCAATGGGAGTGGCGGAAATAAGGATATTAAAGTGTATGTGTGGTCAGACAAGAATCCATAAGATAAGAAATGAAGATATTCGAAAAATGGTAAGAATAGTATCAGTTGCTGAAAAGATAAGAGAACATATATTGAGATGGTTTGGGGCATATAATGCGTTGCTGAAAAGATGAGAGAACATATATTGAGATGGTTTGGGGCATATAATGCGAAAACCCCAAGATGCTTCTGTGAAAACAAAAGTTTGTTATTAAGAGCTTGACACAGAGAGAAAAAGATCGGCCAACCAACACTTATCTGGGGAAAGAAATAAAGCAAGACTTAATGGAGTGAGAATTAGATTGACGAATGGTGTGTCTTAGGACGGATTGAAAGAAAGTTATTAGCACTGTTAAAGGGTAGACCCTTTTTTTTGTCCTGTGCTCGAGACGAACCCTGTTTAGTCCTTTTTTCCCTATATTTTCCTTCATTTCTTTATTTATCTATTTAATAAGTTTTCTCTCAATTTTATTTATCTATTTTTATTTTTACTATTTACTTTTCTCTTATCTATCTTTATTTTTATTTATTTTTTTGTATTTTTCTTTTTAATTTTCAATTTTTTTATTTTTAATTTTGATTTTATTTATTTATTTTTCCCTCTTCTTTTTCCTCAATCTTTTCTTACTTTTTATTTGGATTCGTCGACCACCGATACATTACTAATTTGGGATGAATGTATTATTGATGTTCCTTCTTACAAGGATCGCCTTGTGGGATAAGCATGGTTGTTGTTGTTGACTTTTTGTAGATTTCTCTTCTGAAAATAAACAAAAGATGGTGTTTGGTTTTGACAATAATTTTTTCCTATAGTATCTCCAACTATCAATCACCCTAAAGGCATTGGAAATTAAAGGGGTGCAAAATGAAACAAAAGAAAATCCTGAAAAAAGTGGTATTTTAATTGACAGCTCAAGGAAAATATGACAAATATATACCATTTATCATTGTTCCACAAGAAAGCAATGAGCTGATTACAAAGAAAGAAAGATGACAACCGCCATAACTGTTCTTTTATTTATGTCGAGGAAAGCAGGAGGGGAGGTGGTAATATAAGAATCATATTTACGGTAAGCAAAAAATATACTATTTAACATATTTTTTGCAGATCATGTCTGCAGGAGACTGACTAATAACCATATATACCTAGTGCAGCTTGAAATATTCTTGGGTCTGGTTTTTCGTATCCAACCTCTGATGATATAATGACAGCATCAAACCTGAGACAAAAACCAGAAAACGATGCATAAAAAACTATGTATAAGATGTATACATCAGACTTTGCGAGATTTATGCAAATTAAGAGGTTCAAGTTCAACAAGCAATCTTAGATGAACATTTCCCCAAAGATGCCAATAGAATGTTCAAAAATGCAATATAGTTAAGTATCAGCATATTGAAGGATTGACTGATGCTCACAGATTTAAAACATTAAGGTCCTTCAATAGCTTCCTTAAGCGGCAGTCGAAATTTGATACAACAGCCATCTTAACTGTGTCACTGCTTGTCATGTTAGCAAGAACAAACTTCCAAGAGTGTAGATAATTAACGGGGTTAACAATGTTAGTTGTTTAGGATAAAAAGAAATATTTAATTTATGTGACCTCCGGCATCCTTGAGAAGAGTAATTGTTTCATAAGCTCCATCTGGAAGAAACCACGCATCACCTTTTGCATAGTACTGACACGGACAATAATTAAAGTTCAGACATAAAAATGAAAACAAATGCCAGCAACTTTTAAAACACTCTCCTGGCAATTTATTTTTCCTTGGCAAGTAAGCAATAACATCTAGAAATTACAAGATGAACATTCTGGAACCAACAAGAAGAAAGATCAGAAACTGCATTTGTTAAAACCAATAGATCATATTACGTTCATGTTTCAAAGGAGCTCATGAAAAGCAGAGAGAAATTACAATTTTCTTTAAATCCTTTTAATAGGTATAGATTGACTTTTTCAAAAAGATCAAAGCATTCTACAATAAATTAGTTTTGGTTGATAGAATCGTCATAAATTGGAAATGAGGGAATGACAAAATGCAACAGATTAACAGTTTTGCAGAGAAGGGGTACCTCATAAACTTCCTCAAAATAATCTTCATCTCTACAACCAGTGGCTTCAGAAACTACAAGTTTCCAAAATGGCCTCCCATCTCCCTGTAGTGAATACAACTTAAAGAGTGTATATTACTGCCATAATAAATGCCATTTGCCCATTAAATGCCTTTCTGTTTACATTTCTTGTTGAAAGAAATTAATATGCAGTTGGGTTTCATGTATAAAACATGTAAATACATGGAAAAACCACAGTGACATCAATATCCGGGAATGGCTATAACAAAAAAGTTGTCTTCAAAATGACATAGAAGTTGAGCAAATATGTCAATTTGCATATCATGATAGTTAAAGTTCCTTTGCAGTGGTTTTGGTGAAACCGTGAAAGCATTAATTTTCTAGTCAAAACTACTATAATCCTACATGCATGTGAATTTTTTCTAATACAACAAAAAGATAATGACAATAAGCCCAATATGTTATGTATGAAATCTCTACAACTTTCTGTACATACAACATGTTCCTCTTTTCCCTTGTAGACAACAGCAAGCTTACGGGTACAGTTGATAACCATCATTATACAATATATCAATGACAAAGAGTGATTGCAAACAATGGTATTAAAAAAAAAGGTCATCGGAAGAGAACAAGCTTAGAATGAAGAAGGTCATCCGAATATACTGGGCAATCATGCAAAATATTACAAGAAAAATTATCAAAGGTAGAGCATAGACCTGGTAACGTAGCTTTTCAGGCCATTGAGCAGCGAATGCTCTCTTAAATCCTTGCTTTATCTCAGCAGGATTGACAGTCAAACCTGAAGATAGACATAGTAAACACTTCTATCAGGAATCCAAAAGGCTAAATATTTTATTAACATCAACATCAATATCAACATCAACTTTAACCCAAGTTAATTGGGGTCGGTGGTAGATGAACCCAATGATAAATAAAAGGAGATTAAAAAAAAAAAAATACAAAAATAAATAAATAAATACAAAAATAAAAATAAAAAATTGGGGAAGGGGGAAATAAGATAAAAGACAAGAAGGGGAAAAGAAGGAGAGGGGGGATTGAAGAGAAAAAGGACTAAAAAGGGACTATCTGGAAGATAGGAATAACAACGGGTTTAATCTTTCACCCTGCTTATAGCTTTTCTCCACTCCGTTTTAAGACACATCGTCCGCCAATCTATATCCCACTCCATTAAGTCTTGTTTAACTACCTTTTCCCAAATAAGTTTCGGTCTACCTCTACCTCTCTTTATGTCGAGCTCTTGGTAACAAACTTTTGTTCTTACAGGAGCATCTAGGGGCCGTCTCATTACATGCCCAAACCACCTCAATCTATGTTCCCTCATCTTTTCAGTTATCGGTACTACTTCTACCTTTCTTCGAATATCTTCATTTCTTATTTTATCCATCCTCGTATAATCACACATCCATCTTAACATCCTCATTTCTGCTAGTCCAATTTTATGCTCGTATTGCCTATACGCTGGCCAACATTCAGCTCCATATAAAATTGCAGGCTTTACTGCTGCCGTATAGAATTTTCCTTTAGTTTAAGGAGAATTTTGTGGTCACACAAAAATCTAGATGCACTCTGCTATTTCATCCATCCTACTCTAATTTACATCCTCATCAATCTCACCACCTTTTTGCAAAATTGATCCCAGATATCTAAAAGCATCTTTCTTGGGAGCCTCTTGACCAAGTAGATGCACGGGGTATTGATCTTCATCTCTTACCAGAAAAAACTCACACTTCATATATTCAGTCTTGCTCCGCCATTTTATTAATAGAAGGAAAATGTTGACAATATTAATAGAGAGACTTGAAATGTTCACACCAAAAATTAACTAGTAAGAGTAATATATTTTTGGAGCAATCACCTATTTTGATCATTAAAAAATAGAAGTGTCACTCCAATAGTAATTACATCAAAATGGACCCTGAATATCAAATTTTGAGATGCCAAAAAATTCAATTGTTAAAGCCTAGAACTTTGGAATTTTGATTTTGGTCCAAAATTGAAGTGTAAGAGCCATAAATGAAGAAACTAAGTAACTAACCATATTTGGCTCCAATAGCGGCATAAGTCTCCTCAACTGGCTTTGCCAATTGCAAAAGGGTGCCTCCAGCATCCAACAACAATGCATCATATGCCTTCCCACAATAACTAGATCCACCTGTTCATTGATCACAGACACTTCAATTCACCATCACCCAAAAATGATAATAATAATAAACCAACTCATTTTGAATTCATTAAGGACAATTAGGGAGGTAAATGGATCAGTCAACCTAATAGAAGCCTATGGCTCGGTCTACTACATATAATCAAATAAAACAAGTGATGCATTTTCTTTTATATACCGAGCCTATAAACGTACAGACTGGCCTATATCATATTATTTGTTATAAATAAATGATCATTTTAATGATTTTAAATAATAACATATTATTATTTTAATTAATTTTTTAATTATTCTAATAGGCTTAAACAAGCCAATGCTTTTGTTTTTTTAAATATAGATTATTTCATACTTATAATTTAAAATTAATAGACGAGATCAGTATTAAAGTATTTTTCACAATTATGACGTTTTTAAGGCAAAGCCTAGAACAGTCAGCCTATTTACACCACCAGGAACAATCAATATACGTAACAACTGTGCCGAAAAGGAAAAGGAAATAGGGAATCACAGAAACGCGCGGACCTTTGTCAATCGTCGTTGAAGAGAATCGAAGTGAAGTGCGAAGCTTGGAATTGAGGGGTTTGGGTTTGGGTTTGAGAGCTCTGAACAGAGTGTTCCCGTGAGAGCCTCTCATCGTCATCAGGTTAGCGCCCATCGCCTCGTTTTCCCCTCAATCAATCACTTCACCAGTTTTGCATATTTGTCCTCCTCCTACCATTACCAAATTCATCATTATGAATAATGTAATATACAATTTTTTATTTTCATCCTATGTTTATGTACATCTTACTAGTTACTACATACAGGCATTCGTTGATTCTTATTTATTTATTGGGCTTTATTTTTATTATGTTACCTAATATAAAATTATCTTTCTACACACATAAATTTTATATGGGACCCACTTTAAACTTTTTCTCTTCTTTCTATTCTCTCTCCTCTCACATCCTTTTGTGAGAGTAGGAAATTTGTTGTTATGTTATGTTACGTAACAAAAACATTTCCCTTATTTATTTATACAAATTTATTGGATTAGTAACGAGAAAATGGTATATCTAGAAATATTTTATTTACAAACTATATTTTTTTTTTGTATTACATGGGAATTGAACACACACCACTATACTACAAACACCTAACACACCCCACACCACTAGGCTAATCCTAGTGGATATTTACAAACTATATTATGTCTTATCGATAAGATAAATATTATTAAATAGAGGCATAAATAAATTTGACTAGAGCTTAAATAACTTAAATTTGTGTAAAATATTTTAGAATTGACCTAATCTGTTAGTCTTATATAAGTTCAAATTATAAGTTTGGTATCATCTATATTTAAAAAATAAATGCCTAGATATGTTCGTCTGTTTAAACTTATTAAATATTCAATAATTAAAAAACAATTAAAATAATATTATTTTATTATTTAATAATAATTTTATTTATTTGATTTAAAAAAAATAATATGATATAAGCTGACTTGTAGATTTATAGGTCCGGCATGTAAAAGTAAGTCTATAGCTTGTTTTCTAAATAGACTTTTTTAAAAGTCTAGGCCTACTTTATTTGACTATATTTAATAGGCTGAGTTTGGCTTGATATAAGTTAGACCTAGGTCCCTGTAAGCCGGCCTAGTTCATTTACACCTCTACTCTTGAATGAAGTCTTACCGATAATACATAGTATAGTTTGTAAGTTTGTAAAAAAATAAATTGTCAATATAAGCTTCCTCTTATTAATATAGGATAATATGTTAAAGAAGAATAAATGTTATAAAGTTTTATTAAGTGAAAGGTATAGTTTGTAATCTTAATATTTCGAGATTTTGATGCTTTATGTGTTACGTATCATGTATAACAAATTATAATAAAAAAATAAAAATTTATTATTATCTTATTTTTGGTAAAAAAAAATTATTATTATCTGGTTATAAACGCTGCCGTATTTAAATTTCTATTCCTGTTTTATTTATGAAAAAATATTTATCAATGTAAATTAAAACTGCCCTTATTCGTATTAGGTAATAGAGTAATTTACGATTAAAATAAAATTGAGAAAAATAGAAATTTTAAGATATTGTTAACCACATCAATTAGTAAGTGTAAATTTTATTGCAACGGTGACTGATTAAATAATTATTAAATTTAAATCATTTTTCTAGACACCGATGATATAAATTAACTTTATCTTAATTCCACTAGTCAAGAAATCAAAATATATCAATTAAAATGACACATAAAATTTATGTGAAAAACTCAATTGGAATAAATCACGTGCAAGAGTATAGAAAAATTTTACTAGGTGAAATAAATTATAACCTCTCTCTAAAATACAAGAAAAAAAACAATATCACTTTTTCTTATATTAAAAGAATATACCCAACATAACACTCAAAAACACTAGGTTATTTGCTTCTCAGTTTTGGTGATGCTTAGAACAAATGAGAAGGCCGTATTTATAGGCCAAAAAATTATCTACTCATACGGTAGCTTACGCATTTTCGTGTTGCCACAACAACTTCTGCAATTTGATTGCACAGCAGTTTCAATTTCGGCCACCGAAAAGTGACTTTCATAAGTCACTACTTACATCAATTCACTATTGGACTAAGTAAATTGAATAACCGCTCCTAACATTTTCCTCTCAAAATTTAATCTTGTCCCAAGAGCAATTTTAGGAAATTGTTGCCGCAAAAATTCAAAGTTTTCCCATATAGCTTCAAATGGGTTTAGTGCTTGCTATTGTACTAAGATATCTTTATTCCCTTTCCTAGTGCATTCTCCAGTAGAGTTGTTGGTCGAGGTATTAATTGCTAACCAGTTTCTTTCACAGGACAGGAGGCAATTGAGTTTGTTTGTATCTTGACTTCCTCGCCAATACGCTTCTTTAGCAAAAATATATGGAACACCGGATGAATACGTGATCATGGAAATAACTTCAATCTATATGTTCCAAAATTTTATAAGTCCCATAATATCTTGCTAACAACTTCATATTGAGTATTCTTGCAATTGTAAGTTGTTTACAAGGCTGCAACAATAAGTACACTTCATCATACACTTGAAACTCTTGTTCATTGTGCTTGTTGTCATAAATCTTTTTCACTATGTTCTACGCTTGTTGGAGTTTCTCTTCAGATTCTTTAATAAGAACATCTCGACCAATAAGCACTTGCTCAACACTAGCAACCTTGATTGTTCTCTTGACATAAGAGAGAAGGGGGGATTTTTTTATGAGTTAGCTCATATGGTGATCGACCATGAGCGAAATGAGTGCTATTGTTATAACAATATAATGGTGAGAAACAACTATAAAATGATAATATTTGCATAACCTATTAATCACCGCAAAAATAACTGTTTTACCATAACATTTAAGCAACCCATTAACAAAATTCATTGGTATGTCTTTCCAGATTTACTCGGGAATGGAGAGTGGTTAAATAAATCAAATCCAAAGACTAAGCTCAGCCTTATTCATCTGTCAATTAGCACACTTCGCATTCCTTAATTTATTTATATAAGTTTATAGAATTACTAAATTAGTATAAGGGTGCATGGTGTTAGGAAATTATATTTTCTAATAATTATTGTGGGTCACATATTATATTAATAATTATATTGTGCTATTTATATATATTGGGTAAATTAAAGTGATCAGTTAAATATTCCCAAATAGATTTCTAAGTGAGTATGGGCTGAATGAGTGGATACCGGTGTTGGGCTAACTAGGTATAATGGGAGCTTATTGGCTCAACAATAAAGATAAAAACACTATACAATTGTAGGAATTTTTTTAATTCCTCCAAACCTTATGGTGATAACTATCACCTACAAGCCAAGATCCATCATACCAAATCATAAAGAAAAATAAGAACAACATAAAGGTGGAGGCATACCTGTCTCCATTGCAGCGGAATAACTTTGATCTTGTCTCTTAGGGTTTGTAGTCTTCCTCAGTCAAATCACCCTAAAACCGAATTCCTTAGTGTGCCGTCTCTCTCTTGATGGGGAAGAGAAACTAGGGTTGTTTATTTGACGTATTGGGGACCATAACCCTTTATAGTGTTTTTATCTTTATTGTTGGGCCAATAAGCTCCCATTATACCTAGTTGGCCTAACACCGGTATCCACTCATTCAGCCCATACTCACTTAGAAATCTATTTGGGAATATTTAACTGATCACTTTAATTTACTCAATATATATAAATAGCACAATATAATTATTAATATAATATGTGACCCACAATAATTATTAGAAAATATAATTTCCAAACAATCTCCCACTTGGGCCACATATTAACTTGAGATAATTATATCGTATGTCTTTAGTGCGCAACTGTATGCTATTTTTCTTTAGATTCCTCCTTAGATACAATCTGGTCCACCTCCTATATCAATATGAGATCATGGCGGCTTTTGTCACTTTCAAGCGTAACTAAACCTTCCATGGTCATCGCACCAATATATTCAATGACATAGATCAAGTATGGATGAGTGGCATGGAAATTACATGCAATGTGATCTTACCATGCCTATTTCCAACTGGTCTTACTTTAATCTTTATGAGATCAATCCTAAATTTTCTGCATACACAAAGCAGAAACACAAGCACAAAATTTAATACATTCAGAGGGAAAATAACATCGAATTCTTTATTTTGCAGAAAATTTAATCTTCATAGAACACTAACATAAAGAACTCCCACTAAACCGTAGTGTCATCGAACAAAACAACACCTATATGAGCAGTATGCTCGTGAAAGACCTTAGGCACTAAGCCTTTAGTAAGCGGATCCGCAAGCATGGAGTTCGTCCTTATGTGTTCTATGGAAATCTGACCACTCTGAACTCTTTCTTTAACAACCATAAACTTTATATCGATGTGCTTCGATTTTGAAGAGCTTCTGTTGTTGTTGGAGTACAACACTGCTGACCTGTTGTCACAATAAATCTTCAGTGGCCTTTCAACACCACTCACTATATGCAGCCCTGTGACAAAGTTTCGCAGCCATACCCCATGGTTGGATGCCACAAAACAAGCTACAAATTTAGCGGCCATAGTAGAGGAAGCTACGAGTGTTTGTTTAACACTCTTCCAAGAAATAGCTCCTCCAGCCAACATGTAGACATAACTTGACATGGATCTTTTACTATCTTGGCATCCAGCAAAATCAGAGTCAGTATATCCGACGATCTCTAATTCATCTGACCTCTGATATGTATGCATATAATCTTTAGTTCTCTTTAAATACTGCATAACCCTCTTGGCTGCTTTCCAATGATCCATTCCTGGATTGCTCAAGTATCTTCCTAACACTCCCACTATAAATGCTATATCAGGGCAAGTACAAACCTGGGCATACATAAGGCTTCCTACTGCCGAAGCATAAGGTACCTTTGTCATTTCTATCATCTCAAGCTTACCTTTAGGGCATTGGGCGAGACTAAACTTGTCTCCCCTAGATATGGGCTTATCTCCTGACGTACAATCCTTCATGCCAAATCTATCCAAAATCTTTTCAATGTAGGCCTTTTGTGATAACCGTAGGATACCTTGAGCGCGATCTCGAAGTATCTGTATTCCTAAGACAAAAGATACATCACCAAGGTCCTTCATCTCAAAATCTTTAGTGAGAAGTTTCTTGGTTTCATGCAATAAGCCTATATCGCTACTGGCAAGTAAGATATCATCAACATATAGTATCAGGAATAGGAATT